GCAGTGTGATGCTGTAGCCAGTGGGGCAAATAATACTGTGGCATGCATCAATCAGTGCATCTCCAGCAGAACCAAGGAGGTGATTCTTCCACTCCACTCAGCACTGGTGAGACTGTAGCTAGCGTACTGTATTCAGGTCTGGGCACCACACTTTAACAAGGACGTGGACAAGCTTGAGAGAGTCCAAAGACGAGCCATCTGTATGATCAGAGTCTTACAAGGCAAGCCATTCACCACAGGGAAGGGCTGAGGGAGCTGGGACTCTTCAGCCTGAGGAAATGAAGGCTGAGAGGGGACCTGGTAGCAGGTAGCACTAGGGGAGTACATCAAGGGCTCGGTGAGCAACTGTTCACCAGGGCACCTGAGGGGAAAACCAGGAGTAATGGCCACAAACTCCTGGAAGATCGATTCAGGCTCAATGTTAGGAAGAACTTCTTCACAGGCAGGGTGTCCAGACGGTGGAATAAGTTCCCTCCAGAGGTGGTGCAATCACCTACCCTGGAAATCATCAAGCGGAGACTAGGTGGATACCTTGCTGGGGGTCACCTGACCCCCAGTTATCTTTCCTGCTTGGTGCAGGGGGCTGGACCCAATGATCTTCCAAGGTCTCTTCCGGCCTTACAATCTATGACTATGGAATCTGGAACAGAAGTTCAATAAACTGATTTAACCTAAATCAGTGAAGTCTGATACTACATCTATCCAAGTTCATTTTAAACTGGTTTTGGCCATTTTGAAAGCGGTTTGTGAGTGCTGAACTTCTGTTGTGTTACAGATTTGAATTGGTTGATCACTTTTATACTGGTTTATGTGTAGCTTCTGTCCCTAGCCCTCAGGTCAGAAAGATTTTAATGGGAATGTCAAACCTAAGAACGCGTGAGGTGCAGTATGTTCAGCCTCCCTATTTATTGTGAGCACATGAACAGTGGGAACTGCGGGTGGTGTCAGTCAATAAAATTACCTGACTCTGTGTGGGGTTACAACTAGAAAAAGTTTGGAAACTGTTATAATAAAGCTTCATTTTTATTTTTAAAACTTTGTCTCTGGAATAGGTGAAATGTTTTGGCTGAAACTTTCACAAATAAATTCAGCCTGAGACGGATGCCCAGCAGAGAGACTTTCAGTCCGAATGGTTTGTTTGATGTTTTATAAACAGCTGAAAATGGCCTTCATTGGAAAGTGTTAAGTGACCTAAAGCAGAGATTGTTACTTTCATCAAGCATAATAAGTATGCTGTTAGAAATTTTTATAGATGGTTATAAGTCATGGTTAGTTGTAATAATTTTTAACCATTTGTAAGTTATTATAAATGGTACCTTACTATGAATATAGCAACTATAAGTTTTGAGACCTCTGCTGTTTTGCCTGGTATCAAAATGAAAGAAAAGGATGGATGTATGTACAATACCACTAAATTTCAAGCTGTGTTGTATAAGGGCTTTTCAGCTTCTTTGATATTTTTTGACAGTTATACAGTAGTGGTATTAACTGAAGGAAGCAGGTGGTCTTATTTTCTTAGTTTCCATTAACAGTTGATTTTTTTTTTTTTTCCCTCTCTGCCCCCGCTAACAAGCCTTGGGCTCAGTTCTTATTTTTCATTTAGAATAAGGGAAGGAAAATAGTTTTACATCATAGTAGAGGATTACTTTGCCATAGTTCTACACACATTGTAAAAATGTCTGTGGAACTCCATGTGAAAGCTGTTATGGTCCTGCGAGATACCAAATGCTTTCAGCTTTCTTGATAATAGGAGGTTGGCACCTGTAAGCAGCTATGTAGAAGCTTATAGGATTGGACTCGGACATCAGAAAAGCAAGTAATACATTTGGCATAGAACTGCATTTCTCATAAACCTGGGGTGTCAAACTCACTGCGTCCCCTGGGCCAGATCTGGCCTGAAAGGGCAGTGGCTGTAGCAGGAAGAGTCGTGGTAGGGCAAGCAGCTGTGGGACTGGTAGCCGTAGGATGAGCGAGTCTGTGTTGGCACAGCTCTTGCTTGCTCTTTTGCTGTGGATGGTCACGTTCACTTGAGCTCAGGGCCTTGGATCCTGTGGCTCCTCTAGCCATGCCCCCCCACTTTTAGTAGTCCAACTAGCCAGATGAAGTGGTTTTGTGGACTAGATCTGGCCTGTGGACTAGATTTGACGCCTCTGCTACAAATCAACAGGTGCCTGGATGTGGTATGTAAGTTAAAATTTGAAATCAAGCTTGTTAGTTTAATAGGGCAACTTTAAAAGAAATTAAAGTTTCAGATTTATATTTGGTCTACTTAACAGTTGCTTTGTCAGTAACTAAAAATCCATATATTCTGATGGTTGCCCCTCAAGGCCTTTCTGTTCTGCAGATGCTTGTTGCTTGTCATTTAAAAACTGCTGGTGAAACTTCCACTAAGGCAGGTACAGGTGTTCTACTGGGAGAATCGCTGCTGTCCCAGTAGACACCAAAAGTGTTGCAGATATTTAGGCTTTTTCTCCCAGATCAGAAATGGCTGCTCTTGGAGAAAAATAAGCTGGCAACAACCAGGGTTAAATTGCTTCTGGGAGGGTTTTTTTTTCCTGCAGACTGAAGGTCTATACACTTTTCTCCTGGTTTAACTCCTCCTGGGGACCAGGGAGAGCGGAGCAACTGGAAAGGCTCCCTGTTTTCCAGGACCAGGGAGGGGCGAGGGCAGCTGCTCCCTCCCTACACCATAGATCAGGAAGGGAGGGGAGCGGCAGCCACTGCTCTCTACCTCTTCCCCCAAATCAAGCAGGCCTCAGTTTTGGGAAGAGGCAGGGGACTTTTTGCTGGCTCCCACTGGCACCCACTTAATGCCCAGCTGAGCGGCAGGGTGGTAATTTAAAAGCCGGCAGCTGGGAGCAGGCCTTGGGGACCCTGCTTCTAGCTGTTGGCTTTTTAATCATTGCTCTGCCCCTAGGTGGGGCAGCAAGGGGGAGCTGGACTGGGGAAATTCTCCATGCACCTGCCTATGGGTCCCTTTTGTCTTTTAAATTGCTGCCTCCGCTGTTCATCTGAGTGGCAGGGGACCAAGGGGAAAGTGGAGAGACTGGAAGGTGGCTGTGTCCTGGACTTTCCCCAGCCCAGCAGAGCACTTCAGTCCTGGCCTCTCCAGATTCTCCTTGCTGCAAGAGCAGGGCAAGACAGGGCTTTGCCACCACAGCAAAGTGCCCCCGTTTCACCCTGCGCTACCCTCGGTGAGTTTGGACCAGCGTTGGCCGAGGCACAGCCTTGCCACAGCACCTGTACGCTCCCTCCTCTTCCTGCACCCGTTCAGTGATCCCGGAGGAGTGCAAGGAGCAGGGCTGTCCTCCTGTGGAGAGCTGGGAGAGTTCCCACCATGGGGGAGAGAATGCTGATTGACCGGATGGGAGCAGGGTGATTCTCCTGGGCCAGGACCTTTCTCTGTCTGTGGCAGGTGCTGCTTTTCAGGGCTGACCCAGGGAGCAGCCCGCTAGTGCCTCCTGGCTGGAGACTTGAAGCCTGTGAAGCTCTTTAGCCATTGAGGCTGGAGCAACACATGCAAGTCCAGCTCCTGGGCTGCTTCTCTACTGGAAGACATTTCCAGTAGAAATGAATGTCTGCACACTGCTTTAGTTACGTTCCTTTTTCATATTCTTGTGGTACGACATTAAATTCTAATCCAGTGTTAATCTTATTGTCAGATTTGTATCCCTTGGTCAGCTCAGAATCTTTCAGCATAATTTTTCTTGCGTTCTCTAGCTACGAAAGCAGTTATCCTGTCTGCTTTCAAGTGGTGGTGTTTTTATCTTTAGGAGATTAACAAAAAAATTCCTAAAATTTGACTCCCTATCTAGGAATGGGTAGATCTGGTCTCTCTCAAATTGCTCATACCGAATGAGAGTTAGGGTTGGCATGTTCATTGTTTTCAGTTGCTTGCCTTCTGGCTTTGTTTTGGTTTCGTTTTTTTGGGGAGTTTTTTGGCTTGTTTCTGTTCTCTCTTCTACAATTTAGACCTCAAGTAAATTGATCAAGGTATCATAAGGTAACTGCTGGAAGAGAAAATGAAGTTGGCTATTTAACTATTTCAGTAGACATGTTTTAGTTTTATAGCCATACTTTTAAATTTTAGTATCTGAAACTTTTAAAAATCGTGAATAAAGAGAGTAGAAACTATTGCATGTTAGGTGTATTACAAAGAAATTAAAAGCCCAGTTGCAGCCTATTTATATATGCCTGTCTGTTCTATTTCCTGCTTGATGTGTTTTTCCAAGACATCAAAAGGAAACATGGAAGGATGGCCAGTTTTTCATGCGAAAAAAAGCAATTGAAACATGCCAAGTACTTCATATTAAATAGAGGAAACATACATAGATATGCCTTCTTTTTAATGTTGATGTTCAAAAAAAGCTATCAGAGTTCTAGAGCAGTTACACACATTTTTTTAAAAAAAATATGTGTCTGTGTGTGAAGTACAGTGGTCATAAATAAAGATCATGGGAGAGCTGTGTGAGATTCTAGGGTTTTCCTTGACTGACAAATGCCCTTTTAAATGTGTCCCAGTTTAGGTACAGCTTTAAAGCCCATTGGTCTTTGTTAAAATGTGACAGCTAACATGTTTTTAATGCCTAACCTTGTAACTATAGTAAGTATAACATTTTAAAATAAATGCGTTTTGGAGTTGATATCCTTTGAACACTTGATAACCAGTGTGCAGTTGCTGTTATATAACATACGTGTGCAGTAGGAAGGTTTGCTGCTAGTAAGCAACTCGATGTAGAGGATACACGTGGTTCTTTCTATTTTTCTTTTTTTTTCTGCTTCCTGGAAGGAAACTGTGGCCTCCAGCTCATTGTAATAACATCATCTTTGAGCCATGTAGCACTGGTTTGCTTAAGGGACTTGTATAGTCTGTTTCCTAAGCAGATTAACTGTTAAGAGCTAATATTAATGCCTGCCTCATGAGCTTAATAAAGCTCCATCGACTTTCAATGCTTTGGAAGAATTGGATGTTTAACCAGGATCCTGAACATGTGTTTCAGGTGGAGAACTCCAAAGACAATGAAGAAAATATCTTACAAAGAGAAGTTCCCATCAGACAGTCTCGGCGAAGGTTCAGGAAGATTAATCAACGGGGAGAACGCCAGACCATCACTGACCATGTGGATGCTAGCAGTTATCTTTCGGTGAGCATGTTTTCCACTACCTGCTGGCCTGGCTGTTTGACATCTCGGTGTCTGTCTTGCCTTTTTTTGAGGCATGTTATAAAGAATTAAAATAGTATAAAATTTAACTTTAGTTTGTCTTATTTGATTTGCATAGTTTTTCCAACTGAAGAATGGTTAAAAGCACTCTAGATTTTAAAGCTGTAGGTGGTAGTTCAGTCACGTCCGCTCAGAAAACAATGATTTGGTTTTAAGCCCTTTTAGCTGTCTGTAATAGGAGTAAAACACTGAGAAGGTCATTGGTCAATTTGGGGTTGCGCCCTAAACCTCCCCAGAAATGTTGTTAATATTTTTAACATCACAATTATTAAATAAGGTACGTCTCAGATCACTGAGATTTTTTTTCTTCTTGTTTTGAATGTAGACCATATTCATTATGCTGTTAAATCCCCAACACCTGTGGCCAAATACAGTCTTGACGTTTTACCTGTGGTTTGTCAGTTCAGGTGAAGGATCAGAGAATTTATTTGAGAACAGCAGAATGTTAAATCATGCATCCAAAAGAGTAAAACATTGCCTTGTTTGCAACACTAAATATATGAATCGAGTATTGTGCCAAGACGCATGCAGCTGTGATTCTCAGGCCACAGTACTTAAACAAGTTTTTGTTTACCATTATTTTTATATAACCACATGCTTAAACCCTGTTAGTGGTTGATTGAATGTGGGTGGTCTAGACGAACAACTTCATTTGAAAAATAATTGTTTTTGAGGTTTTGTTGATTTGAATTTAAATCAAATAATGAAACAAATTGCTAATTAAAAATGAGCACGTTACCAGGAGCCAGGTACCTTCTTCCTTTTTTGATAGCTTAGGGTTTTAAATAGAGCTGAATTTTAACTAGCTTCTCTGTCCAGAAAAGAAAACTGAAATCATTTGCAAATAAAAAAACCCCTGAGTCCCTTCCAACCTTCAGGGCTTGTGTTTTAAGTGCTTTGAAAGCATGCCAACTACAGTAAAGTAAATCTAGCTAATTTTTCTATCTTTTAGAAGAAAAATATAGTTTTGGCTTGTGACTAATTCTTAGTGTTTTTCTTTATATTCACTTTCCTGTGTCTCCTGTTTCAGGAGTTGACACATACTGACTTGTGCCAGCAGTTAGTAAGTGGCACAAGTAAAAGGTAGTGACTGAAGTTATGTCCTCAAGCTCTGAGCAGTCGTGACTATGGTATGGATCATTAATGAAAACCCAGCTTTTGTGGTTTTCATTGTGGGGAAACATGCATCTTGCCTCCTCCATTGCCTTTCTGTTTAAGCCTTTGGTAACATCTGACTGAATAGGTTGTTGTCTACAAAAGCTCATGCTTCTCTGAGCCAGTTGGTCTCCAATGTGCCACCCTGCCCTGCCTTCTGCTTGTTAAAGACTGAACATGTGCATTGAGCAGCAGTTCTTAAAGTTTTGATTGTTTGCATTTCTCAAGATGGAAGAATCTTGTGAGCAGTTGATGCTGATGTCTGTCTGTGTGGTCTTGAGAGCTGCTCATTCTGTGAACAAATGAAATATGTAGCTTTCTGGTGATTTTTAAGGATAGTTACCAGTTAATTCTCCAACTAGGTGAAGGCTTGTCAAAAGATTTGTCTAATCAACAAATTGTGCTAAGTTTATTATGTTTGTCAGTCTTTTGCTATGTGTTAGCATAACATGGTGTATTTACCTATTTTTGTATGTGTACCTTCATACTGCCCTTGTGACAATTTGAAATATTCTTGGCTTATGATTGTTAACCTATCAAAATCCATTAGTATTTTCATCCAGTTCCATAGAAATGAGAAGTGGGAGAAGCCTCCACATTTCAAACCTTATGTTTTTGGTATCTTACTTTATTTCAATTTATAACCAAAAAAAAAAAAGTCCCTGTCTACCACTTGACTTGGGAATCAGTGGCAAGTTCAGTTGTGTGGAGTTAAAGAGTACTTTATGGTACAGTGTCTGCCAGTTGGTTGTCTCTGTTATTAGCTAACCAAATTGCAAAACCATTGCTCCATTTATAGATCATGAAATCTTGCTCTATGTATGACACTTTTGGATAATTTTTGTGGCAAAAAGATTTATAGGGGACAACACAGATGCCTAAGAAATCTAAATGCAAGAGGATCTGTATACCTTGAGCCATGTTTGCAAATACAAACATTCTTTACAAATAAAAAAGAGGTGAATTTTTTAAAACAAATTTAGTCACAATTTAGTAAAAATTAGCTTAAACATTTAGTGGTACTTTTTTGTGGGGGGTTGCATATATAGGTTTAACTTGTGCTGGTGTTAGTGAAAGCTGAATGCACACACACATTTAAGAACAAAGATTCTACTAGTATAAGATTCTTGGTTCCCTAAGGTTTTAAACATTTTAGATAAGCAATTGTCTTGCTCAGAATTACCTTTTTGTATGTCAGCTCATCAGTTATATACGTTTCTTCATCTGACAGTTGTTCATAATTATCCTCCTTATATCTGTCGTAGGTTTATTAATATACTTAATTGTGATTTCCATTGCAACTTGATCAGTGTCAGCTTTTCAGGAACAATAGATGAAGCAAGTATAAGCAGGAGGTATTGGGAGAAATACTTTTAATACTTTGTGAAGTCTAAATTTATGCTAATGAGAGAAATTTTGACAATAACTCTGAATTGGAAAGGTACTATAATGCTAGAACTGGAAAAATGTTTACAAACCTGCCAACAAGCTTGCTTTGTTGACACACTCATAATGAAAAATTACAGTGTATTACTTCACTTCCTTGCTTGTCACTAAATGGTCTTTGATAGGGGTTGAATATGGCATGTTAGAGCTCTTCAGTAAGTATTATTTAATTATCACATTTTTCCATATTGCACTCATAGTATTACCTCCAGAGAATAAACTAGTTTCTGTTCTTGTGCATCCAATCCTGCATATACAATATTACATACTTTTCTGAGTTTCTCAGACTGAATCCTGTCAGGTACAGGAAGTTTTTAATTCCTAAAACAAACTTTGTTTCTGATTCACTGCTTCTCTTCTTTTATGCCAATCAGGCATTCTTGCTCCCAGGCTCAAATAGAAGCTGTCTTGTATTCTTATATAGAAGAATTTTCCATGAAACTCTTAACTCATTAGTAAATCTCTTCCACATGTAAGTGCACTGTGGTCATAATTAAGAATAAGGTTAATCTTTATTTTTATGAAATGTAAGCTATTAAGTGCTACTGCTGAGACACTTATTTGCAGCTGCTTCTTGCATGGTACTGCTGATAGGCGTTAATAGAATGTGTTGTAAATGATTATAGATGTTTTTAAAGGTCTTGTAAGGGTAGCTGTTGTATTTAGTGAGTATTTTTGACAGGCATGTAAAAAAGCCACAATCAGGATAAAAACAGCTCTTTTCATAGATGTTAGGGTCGGAAGGGACCTCAATAGATCATCGAGTCCGACCCCCTGTATAGGCAGGAAAGAG